AAAGAGTTGGAGTAACAACTAAGAAACCCAGTGTGGCACACTGACACTGAATGTATCTGAACAGAACTGAAAAGGTCTGCCAAGGTGTACTTAATCAAACCGTAGATGGCTGAAATTTCCAAAGGCCTGGGTGAGGACACTAACTCGCTCAAGTAAAATCTCATTTTGAATTTAATTTTCTTACTGTTTAAAACAGCAAATACAATTACATTTTTGTTGGACAACTATAATATTTTTCTTAGAATGCTTTGTAAAAAGATATATTTGAGTGTCCTTCCCCAATTCTCCAATGCATATTTGTGTCTATATAGCCGAATTCAGCCCCCAGGTAAAATATCTATTTGTATTTCATTCACCAAAGCTGTCTCGACATGCCATTCAAACACAGGTGGAGAACAACGGCATAGCTGGAAGTAATGCCCAGATAATAAAGTCTTCCAAACAAAAGAGTTAGCATAGCTTATAAACTGATGGACAGAGAAGACAGCTAGAACAGCTCAAAATTGTTACGCTCAAAAATCAAGCTAACCTATAGCTATGCTGTGTAACCAACTGTTTGGAACTATTTCCAGACCAACTACATGAAGCTTAGAAGATGCAAAACTATTTCTAAATATTGCACGTCTACTACAGCGCATATTCTTCTGCAACAGAAACATGGTGTATAACTAGTTATTTTTTCTGGTCAGCTGCATGCCAGGTTTTAAAGCAAATAGGTAGAGGTCAGAACAAGCCCAGAATTTCAACTCAGGTCTCTTCATTTACTACAAGTAATATGAATAGCTTCTTTCACATTTGCACACACATCAGTGTAAATGATGATTTCTTGATAAAAAACCAGAAAGTAAGGACTGGATCAGCAGCTACTAGCTGGACTCCTATCTCTGCCAGAATCCATTTACATATAGTTCCCTTATTACCCAAAGCAACCTCACAGCAACTTGAAACAAAGGACTGCAGCAGACATTATAAAATTAATCATATGAAGTGTGAATGTTGCAAAAGACCTTCTAGCCCCTAGCTACAGAATCTAAAGTGAGACAAATCCAAAATTCCTGTCTTCCTCCTCACCACATTTTTCATGATGAAATACTGTACTTGGTAGCCTCATGTCCTTAGCTCATGCTAAGGCAGACCTACATCAGCGCTCTTATTCACACAAGCTTGGCCTGCAAAACTCAAAAGGCCCTGGAAAGCATCATAGATTTTGGTTACAAATTTCAGTTTGAAAACATGCTGACTGTATGTTTCAGTCCTAATCTACTCCTGCACATTTTAAAGTGTTGCTATTTTATAAAAAACCCCAAGTTCTCCCGGTCCAGAAACGGCCACCGACAGACAGTGGGGCCTTTCAGCTGTTGCAGGGTCACAGCGTAATCCCATGTCTTAAGCTTTTTAATAAATTCTAAATTTAAACCATTCTTGGCATTCAAAAAAGGCAAATTACATTTGCAAGTTTTATCACAATTGTGATAGATTAGAAGCTCACAAATGACTGCAGCCAAGTTTCTTATTCATATGCTTTGTGCATGGAAATATGAAATTAACTCATTGCTCTGGCATTTAATGGAAAACAAGTGCTTGTACTTCACACTTGGGAATTACACTGCATGGACAGGATGCTGACTCACATCTGCTGAGGTGGGGTGGAGCAGAAGAACAGCTCCAACATTTTTCTTTGCTGTTCACCAAAATCTCAGGAAGTTTCAGGGTAATGAAACAAAAGTTTATTTCAAAATTTACTCTGTCTGGGCAGATTTTATCTGTGCATTTCTATCAATGTGCAACTGAAAATTAGACACTGTTTTGTTTAAAACAACAAAATTCCTTGCACATGGAAATGTATGGCGGCCGTGGGGGTATGTAAATCTTAAAAAAAAAAAAAAAACCCAAACCAAAAAGCCCAAACACAACAACTCTGATTAATAACAACCTACCTTTTTTTTTTTTTTTTCTCTCTAAAAAAGGCAATCTGTTGCATTGGTAAGACCACAGCTCAGTCAGCAAAAAAAGCTGAAATTAACATAACCAAAATGATCAGTTAAGAATTTTTAATGTTTTGGTTTAAATTACACTGTACTTGAATTTCCATGGGCCAAACCAAACAGCACCAGCATTGTTCTGAACAAAATGGATCCTATGGGCAGCCACTTAGCTTTCTAGGACAAGGCGAGAACAGAGCTAACACACTTTCATTCCACAAGAGCTGGCATACTTTCACTCAACTCATTTACTTGAAGCTTGTTCTCTTAAATTTCATTTTCAAAGGCAGCACGACCAGCATACTAGAAGCTACTTCTGTCCTAATAGCGTGCTGGGTACTACAGAGATCATCAATCTACAGGAATGAATGAAATGGGACTGCAGCTGGCCTCAAATTATTAGTGGGAGATGTACGTGATTAGCCCTTGCGAGACGTCAACACCACCGCCTATCTGGTACCAAAACAGTCCTAGGACTATCTGACCAAGCTCGTGATCCACAGTCTAATTTTCCTTGGATAAAACCCTGATCCCACTGGAGTCAAAGGGAAAAAATTAGATAAAGGCCATAATTTCAGCTCTGCTATTTTGTTTAGCGAGATTTCACCAAACCCAAACCATTTTGCAATAAGACACTTCTTTACTGATACTATTAATATTCTGAATATCTGACTGAGGCAGTTTGCTGGATTCAGACACCATCCTCCCCCACCAGCATGCCAGCAGATTTCCTCTAAACTTTTACTTCATAACATTAAAAACTGTTAAAAGGTTGTCCTGGTTTGAGCTAAACCAGAACAAAT